CCACTTCCTCCATGGGCCTAGCATAGCCTCCTGGACAGTCCTACTTCCCGTGCTCGGAGAGCACCAAAAGCAGCAGCACTGGAATCCCCTGCCATCCCCTGTCCCGTAGTTTCCAAGGAAACACACAGGACATGGTGAGAGGCTTGAGAATCTGCATCTCTCACAAGGCCCCCCATGGAGCTGAGGCTCCTGAGGAGCAGGGAACACGTCCCACAGGAGCAGCTGTCCTGCCTGGCCCAGGACGGAGGCCAAGCGCCCCACACTCTGCATCCCGAGCACTAGGCTCTACTTGGTTAGGGACACAAAGGTCAGGAGAGCCTGACTGAGAAGCCAAGGAGCATTGATGGATAAGAAGATGGAAACTTGGCACCTGAATGGTCAGCTCTCGTCCTTCTCGGTTAATCCGCAAGTGGTGCATCCTTCTGTTGGCGAAGTTCTCCGCATCAATGGTGAATACGTGAGTTTCTTCCTTGCTTAACTGATAGCGAACCTGTAAACTTCCTTGAAAGAAAAAAGTTAAGAATTAGAACGAAGTACAGTGGCTGCGAAATGCAAAGGTCCAATCAGACTGTCGTTCAGTCTTCATCCTCTAGGGACCCGTGACTCACCCAGCGCAACACTCCACCTCTCCCAGCACACTGTGTGTACTCACCAGGTGTACGGAGCAAGCCTTGAAGGCAGCTGTATGTGTATGTGCACGTGCGCGAGTGTGCGTGTGCGTGTGTGTGTGTGTGTGTGTGTGTGTGTGTGTGTGTGTGTGGTGTTATGGAAAGCTAAAATGTATGTTAGAAAAATTAAGCACAAATTATTTTGCAGTTGGATTGGGAGAGCTTTGACAAGATACAGGTCAGGTTTTTTTTTCACTCTGTTCAGTTCCTACAACTGACTACATTCTCTCTTCTCCTTCTCCCTCCCTTTAGACTTGAGGAGGATGAGGAGGGCAGCTGCTTCCTGTTTGCACTGGTTGCTCTATGATGCCTTAGATTGGAGCATGCTCTGGTCAAGACCGGGAGAGAGCCAGAGAGCCAGAGACCCTATTGCACCCCTTATTATTGTCCATCGGGACATTCAGGTTTCACTAGGAGGGTGTTCACTACCCGGTGGAGGTCAGGAAATCAATTTACTAAGCCTCAATCAGCATTTCTGACAAAATGGAACAGAACTGAAAAGGAAACCTGAGAGTCCCAAGAGACATATTGAAGACAAGAAGTCATTGTGATTGTGTGTGTGTGTGTGTGTGTGTGTGTGTGTGTGTGTGTGGAGATGAGGGAGCTGGGGGGGGCACAATGCAAAGCAGTTGCTCCACCCTTGGATCCTATTTCAGAAGTTTGAACGTTGTGCTGTATGAGGAAAGTCAGTGTGGATGATGAACATGTGGATAATGACATTTCAGCTTGTCTTACACATGGCTGACGTAAGAGTTGATTTGACCCTTTCCCCAGCACCAAGGGCTGGGATGGCTGAATAGCCCATGTGCCCCACCTGTGTCTCTTCCCTTCTGTGAGGGTCACAGGCTCTGCTACTATTGGGTCCTCGCACACAGATGCCAGAATCTCTTGCCCTGGGTGTGTACAGGGCAGAACCACAGGAATCAAGGATCAGTGTCGTGCCGATGGGCCCAGAAGCTTCTAGCTCTCCGGAAGCACCTCTTTGCCCTGGGCCTACTTTTCCACCTACTATAAGCATCCTAGAAAAGCAAGGACCTTGTCTGTGACTGCTCTCGGCCCTCACACTCTTATTCTCTTTGTTTTCCTCCCCCGACTCTTGCTCTGTGTTTTGAGATTGTTTAAAAATGAGCTGCTTGTCACAGAATTTCAGACTTTAAAATAAACTAATGCAGAATACACAAAAAATGGCTTGGGGTTAGAGGCCCTCAACTAACAAGAGCCAGCCAGGAAAAGTCATTTTCTAATAGTCACTCTGCTTTTCCTGGATTCTTTTAACACACTGAGCACACATTCCTTAACACTCAGTTCAGTTTAATGAAGTAAGTATCCTTCAGTATCCTCAGGCTCACTCTGCCTTCCACACTGGCCCAAATAGAACCATTTTAGCCTGTAGTTGGTCCTGCGACTCTGGTACCCAGCAGATTCGAAGTCTTCCGGATTCTCTGTGAAAGGATCTAACTTTTAAATTTGATGTTCCAGGCCCTTTCTTAGCTCTTCACTTTATTCCAGATACATTATTCACTGCTCAACGTCGCCTTAACGCTCTTCATCTCCCAGCAACGTTCCTTCTCACTTCTGCTTATTAGCTCATGTTTGTTTTGTTTTATTTTCCTCTCTGCTGGCTGCAGCTCCTCTTTCTATGTCTGGCCAACCTCTCCCGGCCACCCCGTTCCTGCAGCCCCATCCTGCGCTCAGCTCTGAGACTTAAGCCACCTTTGCCTTCATTCCAGTAATGCTCATTTTTAACATGAATCTCAATTTTTTATGGTTCTTTTGACTTTTCCATCTTCTTAAGTTGGGCTCTCTAGGAGGAACAGTTGCTTGTCTTTGTGTCTATGTGCCCTGCTACGGTACGGCTCCAGAAGACATCTGGCGAGTAGACAGCCACTCTGGAGAATGGCGTCGCCACTACCTCCCTACTGTAGACTAACATTCATTCAGGGCTTGCAAAGTGTATGACACGAGAGAAAGCTCACCATGACACTGCAGATCTATCTTTAAAAGCTGCAGTCTTGTGAGAAATTAAAGGAAGAATCCTACTTGACACTACAATGTGTCTACCATGAATGAGGCACCTCTATTTGTCTTGTACAATACAAATTTCCTCAGGAAATCCCTAGAATGGCAGAGTTCCAATGACCCAAAAGTTAAAACATAGTAGTAGCATTTAATTATGCAATGACACTCAGACCCAAGCATACAAAATATCATAATGTATAAGATGTGTGCTCTTCCTACATGGTCGTGCTGCCCCTAGACATGAAATAATGCCTGGATGGGGACAGAAATTGGTGGGAAGATGGAAGGACAAGTGGGCATTTTTGTACAAAACACAGAATACATGTCTAGTATATTAAAAAAAAGACAGTTACAAGGATTGAGACAAATAATTTTATAAAGAAGTTCATTGAACAAAGGTAGAACTTAGCTTGGTAAGAAAGAAGCGAAATACTTATGTACCATTTGAAATATAATCAGAGTGATGTGGCGGCTGGTTTTTACTAACCTGGGCCACTGGATCTACAGACCAGTAGAGCTGCTAAAAGCCTAAGGAGCATCTGCCTAAACAGCCTCTTCATTTTGAATAATAGAGAAACTGTGAGTGATAACTGGGAAGAAGTATTAGAGACAGGAGCCAAGTCTGAAGCCCTGCTCTGGAATGCATAAGATTGTGGATTTATTCCTTAAGGGGGATCCTGTACAGACAGTCAAGCACGTGCGTGGCTGGACTGCTCTGCCCAAAGGGGCACTTTCAGGAAGCAGCCCAGTTGCCTCAGTGTCGTTGTGAGATCAGTAGGTATTATTATCTCTCATGAAATCATAGCAGTGGAAAAACGGACAAAAGTATTGGACCATCCCTGCAGAGTAAAGATCCTTTCTCACACTTCCTCTAATACAGAATCACAGTTTCATGACTTCCCATTCCTTTGAAAGCGGGGATCTTTCTCCCTTCCATTTTGTGGCACTCTGTGTCAATCTTGGACATGAGCAGCTGTTCACACACCCTTTTGACTTTACAAACCAGACATCCTCCCCAACCACCTCTCCTTCTGGCTTCCATGTTGCCCTAGTGGCCCTGTGCTCTACTGATTGTTCGCGATACCCCAAGCCATGTGTGTGTCTCACATCTCCTTTCTGTCACTGACACTCTCACATCAATGTCCCACTTTTCTCTAAATAAATCCTGCATTTCTCCATCTCTTTCCAGCTCCAAACAGTACCTCCTCCTACTGCCCATCCCTGTCTCTCAGCTGGACCAGGGCAGCACATCTAATCTCATCTGGGCTCCACACTTACCTGCCTACTCCTCCATATCCATAGGTTTTCTACAATCAGTCGAAAGAAGCACTTACACTGTGCATCACGGGCCTCAGGTCCAAATGCTTCCATGGTTTTCCAATGCTTCAGGAGTAAACCCACATGGTCATGTGGTTGTTGACTTTGCGTGATCTTTTTCTGTGCTTCTTTGAGCTCATTTCATTGCACATGTGACTTCACCCCCTCAGATCCAGCCACCACCACTAGGCTATTTTAGGTTCCCCTGGCGTGCCGTGTCTGTCATGCCTCAGGATTACTATACCTGCTACTCACTCTACACCTAATGCTTGTTTCCTTGGTCCTTTCTAAGAAGCCCCTCTTCACTCATGTCTTAGATATAATGCGATATACACAGGGATTCTTTCCTTACCTATATCCTCATTTTTCAAACTGTTGGTCTTGAGTGACTGACACATTGTGGAAATGATATCAAGCTTAAGTATTTGTTGCTACTAGTCACACTAGCCCTCCTATAACCTCAATGATAAGGCTCTCACTCTCTCACTACAACCTCCTTTTTTCTCTCCTCCAATGCCCTAATGTAAGGTGGATCTTAAAAGCTACCCAGTAACTCTCAACATTTTCTTGGCCTCTCTTTTCTCTTTTCCTAAATTAAATACATGTTATATAATCTTTTGGTCAGTTCTAGAGTCAATGTACATAATTATTTGGCAAGACCATAAGTAATCACTGGATTCCCACCTGGGTTAGCTGAAAGAATTAAAAAGAAATCACGAGAACAATTCCTAGGTCAGCACCTTGCACTTGCCAGGCAGGTACCTATGCTACTGAGTTATCTTCCCTGTTGCCTTCTCTTTCTTTACTCTAATGGTCCTGCCTACTGCTTCCCTAAGGGAACTGAAGCAATGACAAAAAGTGTAGGCAACCTCCCACCACCATATTGAATGGTCACCAAATTAATCTGTCCGTTTCTGAACACTACTTTGAACTATCCATTCTCTTCTTTAATGCCAATTTATGGCATGCCTTCTCACCCACTAAAATATATCACTTAAGTAACAACTGCTAAACCCCTCTCTTTACAAATGATTTTTATTAAATTATCTCCATTACTTCATTGTCACTAGCATATTTTCCTACATTGAAGAGGAAGGAAACCTCTTAAACTTTGCTCATCTTTGCAATTGCCACAATTCTCTGCTCTCTTCTGGCTTACAATAAAACTCTTGAGGCAACAGCTCATACTTCCTGCTCCAATTCCTGTTTCCTCTTTATATCTAATCTCACACCTATCATATTTCACTTCTAAATTCCAAAGCGAAGTTCTATTGCCAAAGTTTTCAGTGACCTGCCAATTGGTAGTCCTTTGTAGGCTCACAATTCATATTTTATTCTCTTTAGCAATGACACTGTCACTCTCATATCTCTATAAAATTCATTCCTTCCAGGACACTACTGTCTCCTAATGGTCTCCTAATTCATCGACTCCCCCTCCTCCCTCACCACTGCTAGGTGCTCCATTTCTGTCCTTGCCTTCTGAATAATGTTACATGG